AATTTGTGTGTGCCTTCTCTGTCCAGTCCCCATGTGTTCATGTGGGTTAAGAACCTCATTAAAATCACCTATGCAGAGCCATGGCAATGTGCTCGCGGACACAAGTGATTTTAGTAGATCCCAGGTTTTATGTCTCTCACTCACCTGGGCTTCACCGTAAACGCATGTCAGCCTCCAATCACTATGGTTGGGCATAGACACTTTAGCATCCACATGATACTGAGAATAGCCGAAAACATCGAGATTTATTCCATTATTCCAAAACAAACCGATTCCACCGCTGCGGCCCGAACTGCCAACAACATAAGCATGATTAAAACCTAAGGTACTAGCAAGATTTTCGACATGTGCTTTTGAGATCTGAGTTTCTACAATACATAGCACTGTCAGGGCAAATTGCTTCGCTAAGTCGCGAAGCTCTCGAATTGTCGCGGCTTTGCCCACACCACGACAATTCCAGCATAGGACATTCATTGTGCCCGGCGATCCTCCTCTCGGGAGGTCGCCGATTTTGCTTGGTTGAGTTTCTCAGAAGCTGCATTCTTTTTCGGGGCAGTCTTGTCAGGGTTGACTCGTGGCCGCTTCGGGTCCTGCTTGGAGGAAGGGCTGGTAGGGATATCTGGAGGCGGTAGCGCTGGTGCCGTGGAAGATGATGGGAGAGCTAGCACGCCCCCTCCCTTAGGCTCTGACGTGCGTTTCCTGCTTCCATCAGCATCCTGCATGAGTTCGTCAGACTTGTTCACATAAGAGTTTTCCATATCAGGCTCACTTGGGGTGTCATGCTCCTGGGTACGTCCTGCTGATCGTCCTCCGTGATGACCCCCGCGTCGTCCTCTACCTCGCCCCGCTCCCGGGCCTGTCCCAACACGCATATTCCAATCTGCTCTCAGATTTTTGAAGTGTAACGCGGACGGAGGGTGGATCCCATTACCATGCTCCTTATAGACATGACCAAGATGACCACATACTGCGCACCAGTCGGGTAGCCGCTCGTACTTCACCCGATAGATCTGCCTCTTGCCATCGCGGATCATTGATACCGCATTCTTCAGAGGTTTGTGCATATTGATCCTTACCCAGACACGATAAAAATTACCAGCAAAGTCTTGGGTCATTGTTTCAGTAAAGAGGACCTCGCCAACTCTTGCCGCCAGCGGCTCGACTAGGTGTGCATACAGGTCAGGCACATCGTGGATTTGGATCCATATATCCAGAGTGTCCAGCTTTACCTCGGTTGGTTTCGTGATCCCATCGTACGGCGCAATGATGACTGCATCTCCTCTGAAGTTCCACGGCCCCTCCTGCATCACTCTTTCCCAATCACCGAGGCAGAAAAATTGCAATGTGTAGAGGTTGTCTTGAAGGGGTCGGAACTTCACATCGTGAGCCAGATCCCAAGCTGCCCTCATGTTTTTGAAAAACCAGTATTGGCTGTAGGGTTTGTCAATATGAACCCTAGCCACCGCCATCCACCTGATTGCATCTGGTGGAGCTTGCTTCTCGTCAAAGACAACATCGACGAGATCTTCCTCGCGGAGTCCCAATTCTGCCATCATCTTCTCTACTTCCGACGCGGCCCAACACAGAGGGGCGTGGGGGGTGGGGGGTGTGTGCGCCATTTGGCCAATTAGGCTTTGAACGGCGCTGAAGGTGCCATATAGGGTTTGGGCCATTTTTTATATATGTTGGGTGCTTTTTATATCTCGCTTGACACAATATAGAACATAGCCTTGCCTCAAGCAAACTTATGGTGGGCCTGCCCAGCTGTGTTACGTACGTTGTTTTCCTTTTTACATTGAAGTATTTTAAAATATATAATATATTTTAAAATTTTAATTACTTGTTCATCGCACATTAAACAATGTTCATGCAGTTAAAAACACCACACAACTTTTAATTTTTTTGATAGCATTCAAAAAAAGTTGTTGACATTTAAAGAAATCACAGATTTCAAAAGATGTTACTGATATTTTTATTAAATGTTAATACATAGTAAAAAAAGTTTGTTCAATTCAATTGTTTTTCATACCATTCAATAAAATATGCATGTGTTATATAAAATGTGTTCATGACATTAAAAAATGTTTATACGGTGTAAATAGTTAATAAAAAGGTTCGTACCATTTAAAAAAAGGTTCAACCTGTATTTGAGAAATTTTGAACATAAAAATATATTCAAAACATGTGCTTGAAAACAAATAGATTATGTATTTTAAAAAAGGTTCAGCGTCTATCAAAAAAGGTTTCACATGTATATGAAAAATGTACAATGTATATTGAAAAAGTAGTCATGTGTTGAAAAATAGAAAAAAAAGTAAGGAAACCAATGAAGAAACACAGCAAACCAGTCAAAAAACATGTAGAAGCTTCTAAAACCGGCAATAGAAGCTTCCTAAAACTGGCCATATTGGGCTAGCCCATGTAGCAAATGCCTGCTATGACACGGAATATCGTCTCCTGTAGGCAAGATATAAGATATAGCCCTCGCGATATATGTTCCCCTAAAAAACGTACTATAGATATCCTTATAAATCATGGTCTTAAACTGTCAAGCAAATTAGAACTTAACAGCACATAAGATTTGCAGCCTAGGTTGATCTAGCCAGCAAATGGCCACTGAGTTAACTTAGGCCCAAATGCAATAATACGCGTCACAAGTTGTGCAGAATTGATTGCTCTTCTGCCTATAGCTTCGGTTTAAGGACTCTCATTCGGCACAATCGGTGTGATCATCAGCCCTTGCCTTGCACCCCTACCCTACCCAGTCTCGAGCCACCTTGATCGTCTGGATTGTGCCCCCCCTGCAGTGCAGCAGGCAAAAAATTTCCCTTAAAAAAATGAGTCGCAGGGTCAGTGCACGAGATAACTAACTGTAAATTATCAAGTTGCTAATGCGTAGTCGGTGGAAAGAAATTATATGAGAAAAAGAGTTTTCCCCCGCTTTGTATTACAAAGCAACCATCTGATACAACCAACGATAGATGCTGGGGCGGAAGCAGCACAAGCACGCCCAAAAGAAAAGAAAAAGAAAAAAAAAAGAAATATGCCGACAACGGCAGGTCGACGAAACAAAGATGACCAGTGACCGCTGCACCCACCGGAGAAGTACCACCGTGCTTCTAGCACTCCGAGGCGTCGCGTACCAAGCAGCACCTTCAGGAAGGAATGCGACGACGACGCCGCTGCTGCCCGGATAAGTCCAAGGGTTTCCCCTGGTACGCAGAGGGTAGTGGGGAATGGGCAGATCCGACGCCCTTCAGGAAGGTCCGGCGGCGCCCGCAGGCGTCACCGCGTCGGTGATGGACGAGCCACCAGGGATTTCTCCCAACCCAAACAACCACCACCACCCCGCACGATCGGAAGTGCTCCACCAGAACTGCCGCCCACCAACATGTGCCACCACAATCACTGAACCATCATCGCCGTCTCGCTGAGCCACCGACACGAGACCTGGAGGAGGGACGAGGGGCCAATGGGCTCGGGGGCAGCCGCAACTCAGCCGATGGGAGGGGACTGCCACCACTGCCGACGCGGAGCCGACCGGACGTGACGACATGAGCTTACTAGGCCCGCACAGGCCCGTCCGGACCCCAAAGGATCCGGACAACCCCTGCCGCCATGCTGCAGCACATCGGCGGACGAAGCCGCCACCACCCGCATCCCTCGACGCCACGCCACCACCCCAGGGAGCCACGCCGCCGCACGCTGGAATGCCGGCCCGCCCCAACCCAGCTGGGGCCCAGAAGAGCCCAGATCTGGGCGGAGCGGAGGCCGTCGGCTAGCCGCACCACCGCG